CCATCTATTATTAAACGATTCCAGAATTAAAACGTTGACCTGTGGGTTTGTACGCCGTTAAAAACTACTAAATATTTCAATTCCTATTAACGCGCTTTGCTCTTATTTACTATTTTTCTCGCACGGAAATTCCTGTATTGTGTTTTTAATGGGAAGTTCATATTTTAGAACGTAGCGTGGTATACGACTCCGGATTAGTTCGGTGTTGTCAGTAACAAGGATTAAGGAGGTTTTGTATTATCATAAGACCCTGTGGAATTGGACAATTCCGGCAGCTACAAGATATATGGGGGATTTTTGCCGGTTTCATTTTGTAAAGCGGACAGTTACGGTACTGGAACTGGAAGCGTACATTTTTGCAAGTTCACAACTTATTGTTAGCGTCATCTTAAAAAAAAATCACTCAATCGATTCGGTTATATTACGTGTCATTATAAGGGAATACTCAAAGGCACGACGCGACGTGCTACATATCTGAAATCTACCCTTAATGTCAGGGGAGGGTTGTGATAATTACATGGCATACATAGATACGTAAAATCACATAGATATTTGTGCGTAAATGAGACATTTTTAGGGGAGTGACATCATTATTTTAAAATTATAACAATTCTACAGAGTGATAGACCGACAAAATTTTATAATAGTATCAAATGACTACATGCTGGAAAATACATACAGGATGTCCCAGCGAGTTGGTAAAGTCCAATATTGATCTTTAAACGATAAAATTTTAAAACATTTATATAGGAAATTGATAGATGCTAATCTAGTCCATCGCCTAAAATTATTTGCAACTATACAGCGTGTCTCAAAAATAAGTTACAATTCAAACTTGTGTTTTTTTAAATGAAACATCATATGTTTCTTATCATTTTCGGATGTAGATTTTTATGACAATGTTTTTAAGCTAAACTTTTAAACTCTAAGGCCATCTTTAAAGCGAGATCTACATCTTTCTTTCCAACTAAAGCAAAGTGAATGGCAGCATTTTAATTTTGTTTTGCAAATAACTCCTTTATTTATAAAGTTAGCGTTTTGTCGCATCAATGGTAACAATATTTTCTTATCTTAAGACTCGTCAATTGATGTAAAAATATCCATATTTGAGTGGTCTTTAGAAACCCATATAAAGTGTGCGTTCTCCTTTGTGAGTAAATTACAAGTCCTGTACTTTTTTGAGAAAATTTTATTGAAAAAAGATTTAGAATTATCGTGACTCTAAAGGTACAAAACCTTTGTCAATAAAAGCCACAAATAACGTTAAACATAAATACAATTCAGAATACAGCTTCTTTGTTTCCTCCTTTAATTGCCTACAGCAAAAAAATATGGAAAATATTTTTTCCAACAGAAATAAATAGGATCAAAGTGCAAAATTTAGATCCCCATAATTTAGAAATTTTTATAGATACAGTTTTTTTAACATTTTTTTCATGTTCCTGGTTCTTTATCTTTCTTGACATTTTTCTCTGGGGTGCGAGTTCTGAAACAACCTCTATATTTTAATTTGAAGTTAGAGTTTCTTCAATTTCGTTCTGAAACCGCAAAAATATAAATGTTTGCTACCAAAACTAACGCAACCTGCATATTTATCTCAAAAAAAATTTTGTGTTTAGTTTTTTTTTCTTTTCTTTTATATACTCGTATTTTGAAGAGAGTTTAACAGAAGTGATGCATTTTAAATGACGAATAACCTTATCGAGAAAAATTTTTGCAGACAATTTTTATTTTATGTAACAACCCATTTACTTATCTTGACCTAAAGCACAACTCACAATCGACAAACAAGGACCGTTTCGTTATCGTAATTGGGTCGGCCAATAGCATTAAATCGTTAGGTACTTTCGATTGACCCTCCGAGGCTAATTCTTAAGAATGGACGATCAACCCTCAAATCCGTTCACTTCTGGATTTTATCGATGATAATATTAACGGGTGCTATTCTCCTAACACTGTCTTTTGTAAACTCTCGTATTTTAGACAGATAAAATAGTGGACCAGACTCTACCTACACATTATTTCAAAATTTGTATTATAGTCGGAAATTTGTTAATATCTTTGAGTGTGTTATTTTCGAAAATGCTTTTTAATATTCGTATGTAATTACCTGTATTGCGTATATTTATGACGAGTAAAAATAAGCTGTTTTGTTCTTACACAACCACGCACAGTTATAAAAACGAACATTTCTGTTTTATTGCCGAATGAGTAAAATTTAAGACAAATAACAAAAATATTTTTGGTACTTGTAACGGTCAATTGGTTACCAACTACCAAAAAACATCAAATTTTCGTTCAAATTTTTATTGTTTTAAGTCTAATTTCGTTTCAAACCTAACATTAGAAAACACCGACTATAAAGCTATAACCGGTGTACTTAATCTCGGAGAAAAGTGGTTATAAAGCTCTTACCTCCTCCTATAAACTCGCCATAAATTAAACATTCAGATATAAACAAAGAGGGGTATTATTAAATTTATGATTGACGGTTACCTACCAGGTGCACATGTTGCCATTTTATTGACTTCCAAACAATGTTTAATGTCTTACTCATGCAAGAAATCATCGGATTTAACGAGACCACAAATTGGGCTTTTTTCGAGCCGAAATTTCAAACTAATGAAAGTCGGCAGTTTCAGGACTATAAATTCCGCACCGGCATTCAATACAGTTTAGATTCGATTCACAGTCGGCGAATACAAATGCAAATTTAATCTAGTTTAGGGGAAGTACACATGCGCTTCATTGGAGAAGTTTGACACTTTGGCTAAAGTTAAGACGTAATTATATTCCGGACGGAAAAACCGCAAATTATCCGATTTTCTAATTACATTTTTCCGTTCCCCGATAAGCTAATTAATTATTTTATGAATTGAATTTAAGTAGATTTATTTGAATTTAAAAGCAAGCTCATTTGGAAGTTAAAAGAGGTTATAAAAGAGCGCTTTTTGGTGGATGCGCCGGTTCACTTTTTTTTACTCGTATTTTCATTACAGTCTTTTAAGCTCGATTTTATTCAGTGGTTTTAAAATGACGATTACGTTTTATTGTACTGTTAGAGATGCACCAACAGTTTGTTCACTCGGTCGTGAAAATGTTACAATACATTCGTATTTCGGTATCTGATATTTCGCGAATGTAAAAATTGATATAAATATGTATTGAATGCGAATTTTAATATTCGAATATAAAAGAGAATTTTCTTTGCGTAAATACAGCTTTGTTAAATTTTCTCGAACGAAATAAACTTTTTATTTGTTGCCGACTATTTTCTATTTACATTTACGTTCAACTTTGTTGCTGAATAAATATTTTCCATAATTGTTACAGCGTATCTTCGTTAATTTTGAACAATTGAAACTATTAAAATGTAGATAGGTCGAAAATGAGCCAGTTTGTACACTATCATACAAAATTAATGCTATTGTTGGCATTTTGCTGTACAAACAAAATTGTTTGAACATTTTTGTTATTGGACCTTCAAGCAAAATGGGAGCAGTGACTTGAAAAAAATTAAGAAAATTGGGGCATTTAAGTATTAACTATGATAAAACGAGCGGAATTATTACTTTACGAATGAGTAGAGAACAAAATAAAAGGATTAAATTGTCGGAAAAATGGAAAAACTGTCAGAGTTTTTCCGAGCCAGCATTGAAATTTTCTCCATTCTTTGGCGTCTTTTCGATAATTCGATTGTCTCAAGCGTCGCGTCATCTGTGTACGGCGCGATTAAACCTGTCACAGATTGGTCGAGGGAAAAATCGTTGGGAAAGTTCGCGAAAGTATGTGAGGTCGCGGAAAATCGAGAACACCGGAGGCGAATCCGAAATTCAATAAGACTTCCGGCGATTTGATTGTGACTGTAGTTATCGTTTTTTATTATTGTTGAAATTAATAATGGATGGAGGTTTCATGCATTCGGTGCAAAGAGGAAAATTGCTGACGAGATTTTCGGGTCAAGGTTTATCACAAAATGCAAAGTGGAGTAAATTGGATGGGGTGGTTGTACCGTTTCGAAGAGAAGGCAGTGTGAACAAGGCTTCAGATGAGATTAGATAAGATAGGGCTGAGGCGGTGGGATTTAGAGGGGTGATATTGTCAAAAAATTAAACGGGGGGTAAGGTCAAATTTAATTGAACGTAAAGCAAATTTCCAGTAATTTTTTAATTAAATTATAGGTAATAAACGGGATATAGCCAAAAAGCTGTTACATATTTAAGAATACTTTAAACCTTTCCATGGACAATTGTAAAATATATACTTTACATCGTCATTTGTTTTTTTTTGTAAATATCAAATGAGGGTTTTTGAAAAAAAGGTTTTTCTTTGAAATCAATAGTATGCGAGTAGTGCATGCATATTTATTATAAAATAAGATAAAACTGATTAAAACATAAACTGTTCTGAAAAATTAAAAGGTTGCTGTCCTAAAGAGCATGTAATTTTTTTAATGCATGTGGGGCTATAATTATGCTTTCTAGTTTATTAAAAATGAAAAAAAAGTCAAAAAACACTGTCATATGATATACATGATCCGTTCCGCTTTTATGTGCCATATTGTGACATACCGAGTTACCGACACTATTAAATAATGTTTTACAAAATTATATCTTACTGCTAGAAAAGGATCCATTTCTACAAAATTCAAGACTCTTTAATAAAAATTAATTTTGGAGTAAAATATTGCATTTTTTTGTAGAGGAATCGTTTTTTTGTGGCATTTTTATTTGCTTGATGTGTATTTTGCAAGTCCATCGAACTCGTTCACCTCTGCATCGAAAAGAATTGCTTTTTTCGGGGCGGAAGTGGGATGCAAATTCCACTCCAATCTAAAATCCTCCGGCTCTTGTGTCTAACGTTCCATGCAAGTCCTCTTATTTCTAATGATAAACTCATTTGCGAGTTTGGAGCTTTGCACACGAAACTTGTGTGTGTCTTGTGGTACACTTGATCCGATTACGTCAACATGATTGTGATTCGTGTGCTCTTGTTTGCAGATAAAAGCGTACGAAAAGCTAGAAAGTGCCGAAGAGAGAATGAAACAAGCGAGAGACATCTACGACAACTTCATCATGAAGGAGCTCCTGGCACGGTCTCACGTAAGCGACCTTTTCTTGTGCATGATGAGAGGGAAGGGTGTTTCAAATATCGATTTGCTAGAGGCGAAATTGAGAAGCGTCAGCGAATTGTACGAATAATTTGGTTTTTAGGGGATTTTTTTTCGTTGCAGGACTACTCGAAGGAGTGCCTCCAGCACGTGCAGAAGCACCTAATGAAGAACGATGTTCCCGTCACACTGTTTGAGGTGAGCAGCTTCTAGTATAAGATTAATTTCACGACTTTCCTTCTATTTTTTCGCAGAGTGGATTCTAATTAAAAGTTTTTCCATTACTCGCACGCCACTGCTGCTCTAAATATGACACATTCTTGTTCATTAAAATTCAGCTCGTGTCTACTTAGATACATTTGCAAAGTTGTTACAAATACACTTCCTCATTTCTTATTCTTTTTCAGCCTTACATAGAAGAAATTTATAACCATTTAAGGGACGAACCGTTCAAGAAATTTTTAGAAAGGTGAGATAGGTAACGTTAAATTTATTTTTATTTATTTCATTATTTTATTTTTCTTTCCGTTCGATTTCTAATGGTTTTTCGGAGTACTCGTTCATTTCTAAGCTTCGTGTCACTATTAAAATCCTCTCACGCGAACGCCTCAATTACTATTCGCCGAGTCCGTTTCTATCCGTGTAATTCGATATTAATCGCGCAATTTATTTCATCACAATGTCCAGCGAAATTAGATTTAGCTTGTGGATAAGAGATTCCACAGGATACCTAAGCTAGACATCGAACGGTTCTTTTGTACTTTATTTTTGTATCGAAATAATAAAAACGATTTTTTTCTTTTTCAGTGAAAAATATACGAGGTTTTGCCAATGGAAAAATTTGGAATTAAATATACAGGTGAGTAAAAAAAATGATTTCAATTACATATTACGCAATGTAAATTATTTCAACGAAAAATTGTTTTTGTTTAATAATTTAGATGTGTCAAATATCGACATTAATGCGTTATTGCTCTGGAATTTTTGTTTAATTAATTTAACCTTTAGTTTCATTGACGTGTAATGAGTTGATGACACAACAATTTGAATTTTTTGCGTTGCTTAAATTATGATAAAAAAATGTGCATGTTTGTAATGCGAAATTGCTGGAAAAACATAAATATACAATTTGCCGCTTCCTTGAAATTATTATTTTATTCCTAATACAAAAAACGCACCTAATTTAAATAATTAATAAAAACGATTTTATCATGGCTAATTAGATTGATGGAAGTTTCAAACAAAGCAAATAGGATTATAATTATATTAAACGGACAAAAGAGAATAACTATCGATTGTATTGCAAAATTTCAGATATTTGTTATGGGATTAAATTTAAACTTTCGTAATCTGATAATTAAATAACTGTTTTAGCTCAAGATTGATTATCTTTTGATTAAACACGTGAAATTAAAAGCGATTGTTCTTGAAAGTTTACTCATAAATTTTTATTGTCATTTTTATCAGAAATTAAAAATGTATTAAAATTAATTGCTGCCGTGATGAAAAAGTTGCAAGTGTTGCTTTTGAAACCAAAGTAAATGAGTTTTTAACGTTAACTTCCGTTTTACAAAGTTGTTTAAAAGTTTGAGGATTGATGGTTGCGTTTTTTAAATTTATTTTCGGTTTCTTGAATTCCGAAGTCGGCAAAATCGATTTTTCTATTAAAGGCACATTAAACCAATAGGTAGGTAAACAGGGTCTTTAGTGTAAAAGTGCAACTTTCGTTGTTCAAATGCACTTAAAACTTAGAGAAAGCTAAAAACATTGTTGCCAGTTTTACAAAATGAACACAATATTTAACCCTTTTTACATTGGAGTGCTATTACTCTGTTTAAATGTCATTTAGCCCTGTAAAAATATCCGTGGCAATAAATCGTAGGAGGCTTGGCAAACATCAAATCCCAATTTTGGCAACATTAAAAATGTTACAAATGTCAGTGTGAATTTATCGACATGGAGTTCGTATATCACCATGACGACTACATGTCGACTCTAAAAACACGAAATATTTTTCCGAGAATTCATTTTCTTGCATAATTATTTCTGAAAGCGATTTCCACCAGTGTCACGTCCACGTGACAAATTTCCAACGTTATCGTCGCGGTTACCACCGTGGTTTTGAATCGTCGCAATTCGTGTGTTACCTCAATAAGTCACTGCAAAAACTCATTATCGCAACGGTAATATTTTACGAAATGAAAACGGCAAACGACAACGTTTCGAGTACGTGACCATTATTTTATCGAGTCCGACGTTAACTGGCCCTTTTAAGCCACTTTTTCATAGCGTCGAGGTCGTTTTTATTCATTAGGTTTGTTATTGGGGTTACCTAAGTTGGTGTCAAGGAAGATGGTTCTTTAGGGGTTTTGGCCATTTAGGGACAAAACGTAAGTGATTTGTCCTTCAAGAAGGGAATTTCAGGTTTTATCGGGTCGATATCGGTTCTGTTTGTTTTATTTATTTGTTTACATGAAATATTTTTAGAGGTTTGTACTATGAATATTTATTTAAGGGGTGGTTTATGGATGAGGTCGATTTTTTATTCGTCTACAGTAGTACGCTTAAGTAATTAACTCTAATCTTTTTTTATACCCTCAAATTATTCTACCATGCAAAATAGAAACCTAAAAAAATCAAATCACATGAATATGTACTATACTAGGAAAACGATAAATACATTCGCGTTATTGTTAAAAAAACATTACATGGGATATTCAAACAATAGGCAATTGATGAGATTCAAGATACTATTATTTGAAATAAAGGATTTCCATTTTCTGTCGTTTCTATTTCAATACATTTCTAATAAAAATTCAAACGGCTCTTCTTGTATTGATCACTTGGATATTAAGGATAATCCCGCTATCAGTATTCTTTCCGCATCGAAAAAAACTGTTACAATCATTTTTGCCGCTCACGAAATTGATCTACAAAGTGGAAATCGCTTCATTATTCTGAAAAGTGACTTTCGACTTTATTTATCGACATTTGCACGGCCACGTGACTTGATTCTCAACTTTCAGTTATTTTTACTCCTAATGAGCCACAGTTTTTTTTTTTGCTACTCACGAGTAAAATTGCGGACACGGATTTTTAACGCTTTGTCATTCGATTGTCATAAAAATGTAAAACAGGCCTTCTGTGCAACTAACCTTACTTTCGTATTTCTTATTTTTTTCTGACATCTAGAGAAAAAATGACACCAAATCAAAATATTTTTTTTTAGAAAAACACGTACTGCGGGCATTATTGTTTTAGGAAATTTACGCCAAAAATAAGTTTTAACTAAAACTTTCAAATTTTGGTTTCAAACGTTAATCAATAAAATCTGACACTTACATTGACATTTTTTGAACTGACATAAATTTGATGTCCAAAATTCCGTGTCCGTAATTGTATCTAAGTACTAAATTTTTCTCACGTTGGGCTAGTCAGCCTTGCCAGAATTAATGAAAAGTTTAGGTTTATTAAAGTCTGTTTCATTTAATTAAACAATTGTAATTATCACAATTTCTGGAAAAACCGTGCTGTTGTAGCACCCTAAAACTGCGATATATGAACCAGCTGTATACCTGTCGTGTCAATCGTCAGTTATGTTTATAAAAATTTTAAAGAAAGACGATTAATAAGACACGAAGCAAAAAAGTAATTCAAGGCTTTAATTTAAAATCTCAGCAAAATATTGACTCAGGCGCAATGGAATGAGAATAATAACAATGACAATTGTTGGCAATTTTAAATTCTTGATTAACTGTTAACGTGTAAGTTTTACCAACATAACAACATTTTGACAATTGTTTATTAAATGAAACAGTTTTCAGTAACCGTTTTATAACAGTTGAGTTAACAACAAAAATGATTTGTTTCCACAATAGACAATGCGAAATCAGTGTTGTTTAATGTCTGACGCAGATTGTATTGATTGGGAAACTTATTGCAACTTTGAGGGATTTGAGAAATGTTGGATTATTAGCTTCGCAAAGCTTATTATTAATAGAATAATCCATTCTAAATTGTTATCATATTGAATGAGTTTGAAACTAGACTAGAGATAATGTGTCGGCGGACTTTTTGTTATTATTCAAATAAGTCTTTAGAATAGCGAAATTCTTGCATGTTGTTTTTCCCCAACTCATAAATAAGGCTCGTAAATACGTAATATTCTTTTTAGGGCGAATTTAGCCGATCTGGACGTATGTATGTACGCATATGACATGAGTTATGATAGCTGTGTTTAAAGAACTGCAGGGTAATAAATGTCACAATTTATCTCTCCCACATTTTGAAAAAAAAACAAAGTTCGAATTAGCCTCGAAAAGCTTTCCATTAAAGTCATTTTCGTTCCTAAAAAAATATAAGAGAAATGGTTGAAATGTAATTTGTATTATTTTTGCAGCTGACTATGAACGACTTCAGCGTGCACAGGATAATAGGCAGGGGCGGCTTCGGGGAAGTTTACGGTTGTCGGAAGGCCGACACGGGGAAAATGTACGCGATGAAATGTCTAGACAAGAAAAGGATCAAAATGAAACAAGGGGAGACTTTGGCGTTAAACGAACGCATTATGTTGTCCCTTGTAAGCACAGGACAGGATTGTCCGTTTATAGTTTGTATGACGTATGCGTTTCACACGCCCGATAAGCTCTGTTTCATATTAGATTTGATGAATGGCGGCGATTTGCATTATCATTTGAGCCAACACGGCGTCTTCAACGAGTCTGAAATGAAATTTTACGCTGCCGAAGTGATATTAGGTAAGTTTTCAGCTCATGAAACATGTATTACGTCATCGAGGTTTCCTTTTTAAGAAAAAAGCTACACTTTAATATCAGTAGTAGGTACTCGTATGAACAGCAGTACTACAAAATATTATGAAAACATTCGAAAGCCATTTTTAGTAGTACTTGTACCACTTTAGTGGTAAATTGTCAAAAAAGAAACTGAAAAACCTTTCTAGATGGTTAACTATTAGGTACATTATCCATCGGTTAACTTTTTGATTCTTTTTTTTCTGTATTAGTACAGTTTTCGTTTATTGAATTTACTTACCTACAGTGTGTTCTTCTATTTTAATTCATACAACGTTAGTCACGAGAGGGTTATTTCTGAATTTGTTTTTGCCGCAACCCATTATACATATTGCAACAACTTCTTGATTTCAAATTTTGAAAATAATTATAACTAAATCCACGATAGCTGTTATTAGTCTTGTCTCTGTGACATTATAGTAAAAAAATTATCTCTGAAACGATGCGACATGTTTTGTTATGTTTACCAACCGACTAGGCGCATGTTTAGAAGTCGATGATAGACACTTCAAACACCTTTTATATTAACTTAACTTGTTAATTTATATGTTGAATTTTGATTAAATATAGGTTATCTGTCAATCTGACATTTCTGGCAAATTTATCCAACTTACTTTGATTTGTAATTTTAAAGAAATAACATATTTAATTTAGTAGTTTGTGAGATTGGTATTGTTGGTTGCGGCAAAAAAAAATCAGAAATAACCCTCCCGTGAATAACCCTGTATTTTGTAAAAATCATCGAAAACAACAATACAAAATCAAATTAAAATGTTTTTATTTGTTTTAAACAAATTTTCCATTTTTTTTCTCTCCTTTAAGGTGCAAGAGAATGTACGTGTACTTAATGTTTTTCTTTTATATTGCTGAATGCGTATTTGAAATACAGTTTAATTTTTATTGGAAGGATTTTGTGAACATCGGACTTTTGAGAAAATGGCTTTTTTGTCTATTTTTGTTGTTGTTTTCCTGTTCAGAAGAAAACAGAATACATTATACGAGTAGTAAGTGATTTTTAATGTTATATTATCAGAATCCATATTTGAAACCCGCTTGTTTGTATCGGTTTTGCTTTATCGTATGATTACGTTTTTTCAAGTACTAGGTATATTACGAAAATTTGATCTGTTTGGAGTTGTAGGTGCTCTTTCACAATTATACCACGTAATTTAAATTTTCGGGTCTCTTGAAACTAAATTTGAATTGAACTATGAAGACTATGTTAATAAATGAGAAATTATTTTTTTACGTTTTATACATGAGATATTAAGGTAGGTAACTCTTTAAATGATGAAAATGTACATTACGGAGTTTATGGAGGTCTTATGAGTAAGTTGATCTAGGTTATTTGATTTCTAGGATCTTATTTTTGTATTTTTGTTTTATGGAATTTAAGAACCGTGATTAAACCAAACCTTTTTTTTTTTCTGAACAGAATATTGCAAATAAAGGCACTCGAAAACAACTTAGAAAAAACAGTTTGGTCTTCAAATGCTATTTTCTCAAAATCTTACCAATAAACATTAAAAAAGCATTCAAACAACATTTAGCACCCCAAAAGACATAAAATGCACCCCTTTTTGCGTAAGGCGTATTTTGGTGTTGGTCGATATTATTAAAAAATCTACTAAATTCAGATTTGCTGTGAACATTTTTTTATTTAAAAATGTAACTTGTTTTTATTTTAAAGAACAGATTTGTCCTATCCCCTTTTACTCTACGTAACAATGTTAGTACTTTATCTTTGACTTATTTTTCAACTACCTACGTATAATTACTTTAACAAAACCAAATAAGAAAATCACCGAAAAATATGAGGACCAATTGGATTACATTTGATAATATAGAAATAAGTAGAAATAATAGAAAATTTATCAAGTTGTTTTATTCCAAAAAAATGATCTTAGTTTGTAATTAAAAATTGTTAGATTCTTAAAGTAAACATTTAAAAGCAGCACATGAAGGCGAGCTTTAAAAAAAGTAGAACAAAAGTATTGTTTTTTTTTAAATTAATTAATCAGAAAAGCTCATGTTTTTGGTAATTTTAGTGAAAATATTCTTTAAGTATTACGTTTTGAAAGAAAAGGCGCTTAGCGCAAAAATATATTTGATTAAATGTTTTGTAATTAAATGATTTTTGTACAATATGTCGATTTATTGATCTCTTTGAATGTTAACAGTTTCTTTTTTCTTTACAGGTTTGGAACATATGCATAGGAGGTATATTGTATATAGAGATTTAAAACCTGCAAATATTCTATTAGACGAACATGGCCATGTTCGGATATCTGATTTAGGTCTAGCCTGTGATTTTTCAAAAAAGAAACCCCACGCCAGTGTGTAAGTAATTTTTTCTAAAATTTTTTTTTCAATTGACAATGTGATGTATACAGAGGAACTCATGGTTACATGGCACCGGAAGTGCTGTCAAAAGGCACAGCGTACGATTCCAGTGCCGACTGGTTCAGTTTCGGATGTATGTTATACAAATTATTGAAAGGACATTCGCCGTTCCGCCAACACAAAACCAAAGACAAGCACGAAATCGACAGGATGACGTTAACAATGGTCAGTTATCATTGCTAAAAAAAACAATAAATAAAGTTTTGGATTTACAGAACGTCGAACTTCCCGATTCGTTTAGTAAAGAATTGAAATCGTTACTGGAAGGTTTACTTCAGCGAGACGTCGATAAAAGACTGGGTTGTAAAGGCAACGGGTATGTCACTGTCTCAAAATCGTGTTAAATTTCGCTTAATTGGGGTTGTTTAGGGCCGATGAAGTCAAGGAGCACCCTTTTTTTGCCGGCATCGACTGGCAGCAGGTCTACCTTCAGAAATACACGCCGCCTTTGATACCCCCTCGAGGCGAAGTGAACGCAGCCGACGCCTTCGACATCGGCTCCTTCGACGAGGAGGACACCAAAGGAATCAAACTGACCGACGCCGACCAAGAACTCTACAAAAACTTCCCTTTGGTGATATCCGAACGGTGGCAAAACGAAGTCGCTGAAACCGTATTTGACACGATCAACTACGAGGCCGATCGAGCCGAAAATAAGAAGAAAGCCAAACAGAAGAAACTCTTCGACCTTGATGAGAAAGAATCGGACTGTATTTTGCACGGTTATATTAAAAAATTAGGCGGGCCTTGGATGTCGAGTTGGCAGATGAGGTATGCAAAGTTGTACCCCAACAGGCTTGAACTGCATCCGGATTCGGCTAAACCGGAAATGGTCTTTATGGATCAAGTCGAGGAAGTTAGTCCGGAGTTGGTGCAAGTGAAAAATGAAAATTGCATCGTTGTCAGGATGAGGGATGGGAAGATTGTCCTCACAAATACGGTGAGTGGAAACAAAGGGTTTCAGGAGGTGATAAAAAGACTTATGTAGTATGTACGAGATGAATTGAAGGGTAAACCGCAAGAGACTCGATGCTGATTTTATGGAACGTAAAATTGATTTAAAATGTTCGCCGAAATTGGTTTTTTGCAAGCGTTTGTTATATAGAGTAAAGTTCCCAGAAGAGGAGTACATATTTTAACAGTTGAATTCGAAAAGATTAAGGCTACTTGTGCGAAATAGCAGCAGCAGAGCTATGATAAAATTTAAACAATTATTCTTTCAAAAAAGAATTTTATGTAAACTGATTGAAATATTCCGAAAATACATAAGACAATCCCACATCGTCTCTTCTTTTGTTTAAAGGTGTTAAGTTTCAATTCATATTTCTTAATAAATACAAAAAAATCAAAAGAGCGAATGTTTGAAAGTTTGAAACATCATTACCTTTTATTGAGCAAACAATTTTGTTTGTTTGATTACATTGTGTAGATCATCCAATGAAAATTTGGCTTTTAACACCATCTGTTACATATATTTAATTATAATAATTGTTTAATATTTACTTAAATGTTCGCCGAAATTGGTTTTTTGCAAGCGCTTGTTATATAAGAGTAAAGTTCCCAGAAAAGGAGTACATATTTTAACAGTCGAGTTCGAAAAGATTAAGGCTACTTGTGCGAAATAGCAACAGCAGAGCTATGATAAAATTTAAACAATTATTCTTTCAAAAAAGAATTTTATGTAAACTGATTGAAAAATTCCGAAAATACATAAGACAATCCCACATCGTCTCTTCTTTTGTCTAAATGTGTTAAGTTTCAATTCATATTTCTTATTAAATACAAAAAAATCAAAAGAGTTTGTTTGAAAGTTTGAAACATCGTCGCGCTACCATCATGAGCGAACAATTTTGGTTGTTTGATTACATTTTATAGATCATCCAATGAAAATTTGGCTTTTAACACCTTCTGTTACATAAATTTAATTATAATAATTGTTTAATATTTACTTAATTAACTTGAAAATGGCCGTAAAATTCGTAATGAACAATTACACACCTACGTCTCTCACAATTTAATTTATTTTTTAACAGTACGTTTATCCAATTTCGTTAATAGCGAAATAAATTACACGAAAATTAAATAAAACAAGTCAACGTTTACTTCAGTTTGCTTTATCTCGTAATTACGAATAAATTAAGCGTGTATTTGACTACGAAAATGCGTTTTTATTGAGAGTTTCTACAACATAATTGTTTTTCTTTATGTAAGTGCTATTTACAGAAGAACAAAGACTGTGAAAATTGAAAGATGAAAATTATTCTGATTCAACTATTATTTCATTCGTTTTTTTCTTCAATGAAAAAATGTAAATTAGGTGGTGAAGTGGGGAATTTGATTTGTGGTTAAATTAATATTATTTTTACCCCAAAATTTGAGTGAGGGTGGATTGTTATGCATGGGTCAGGTCGACTGAAATAACAGATCACGATCTTTGATAATATTATAACGAACTTAAACTTGTAGAACTTGAAAAAAGCGTGTATTCTCAGGTGACGACAAAGAAGGGGAGCTGGTTTAAAATACATAATTGAATTCAAATTGCAATTTTTTGTAGTGGAATATTGTTACGCCACTGTTCTGTCTGCTTATGCTTATACGCATTTAGACTTCGCCCAGGTGTATACATTTAGCTTTTCCCAGCTCTAAATGTAGGTATAAACGATTTGTATTTCGGTGTGTTTACATACAATTTACATTGTTTTTATTGTAATTTCATTAGGAGCGTTATTCACGATTCATCTTTTCATCGCCTGTTTGTACGTTTCGAACTAATTAAAAAATAATATTTTTTTAACCGGGATTGGAGGAAATAGAAGAACAAAGGAAACGTTTTAGCGTATGTTGCAAAATGCAATTGCTTCTGTTTTTTTGAGCACAAATAACTAAATCAATTATTACGAAAGAAAGGTGTTTCGGGGGAAGATATGTGCTTGTTTCAGGCAATTAATCAACTTGTATCAACATGTACTTTTGACATTTAGATTTCTATTTGACATCTTCTGTTAGAGCAGTTTCAAAGAGAACCGAGACATTTAAATTTCACCGTAATAAATTGTATGTGAGAATAATTGGAAAGTGACGTAAAAGGTGTTGTTTTTGTTGCAGGACGAAATAGGCCTAAAAGAATGGCTTACGTCCCTGAAGTCTGCTCACAAGTTATCTCAGGAGTTATTGGGGTCGATGGCGAAGAAAGCCGGCAAGATCTACGGGACTGATTCGAACAATAAAAACGCGATAATAGCGGCACATCGTAATACAAACGGTAACTAAATTTGTGGAAATATCAAACTTTGTCCTGCAAAAAAATAAAGCCGATGCGGGCTACAAGCGATTTCGCGAAGATTTATATCGTTTTTCTTGCAATGTCTTAGGCACTATTGTTGTTGCTCCCTATTTTTATTTGTTAGGTTTTTTATGTTTTAATATACAATTTAAGAGGAAATAACCGATTATTTATCGTCGCAACATTTATATATTGAGATACGTTGCGGACCTTTGTAATAACTTAAATTCATGACAAAAGTGTATTGTATTATTGTTATTTATATTATTTATGCCAATAGATTTTTGCTTTGAGCAGGTACTTTTTATAACGATAGTTTATCATTTTTTAAATATATTTATTGAGACTGTTCTGGGAATGAGGTGATGTTTGAAGTAATAAAAAAAGAGTAATGCACATTCCATTCGATTTTTTCGCAAATCTAGTCAAACACAGGACAAACAAAAATATAATCAAAACATTTTTTATTAACGGCTGTTTAACCCGCAGTTTCAGGACAGTTTCGTTATTATTTCTGATTTTGTTTTTTATTTATTTTATTATAGTTAGAAAAATTTGTTCAAGCTCGAGAATAGTCGCGCTTTACAGATTTTTTTAACGACACTGTATATTCCTGAACAGAGATGTTCGTCTCACTGGTACCAACACCAAGCTAATAAGTCACTAGAATAGCTTGTATGCCAGCTGCACTATCTGTAAATACTTGCTTGTTTCTTATTACCGTTTAATTTTGTCTAGTATAAAAAATGTTAAACAACACTCATTAAACGTCGCGGAGGATCCTGACGTGACTTTTAGTGGAAGTTGTGATTTATTCTGCACAAAACACTTCTAATTTCGTGAATTTAATCAAATATTTTGTACATTTTTGTATATACGATTTAATTTCATGTGAAACTAATGTATGTCAGATGAAACTTTCATTTCTATCCCAATGAAGAGATTTTCATCTCGTAAATGTAGAAGAATTTTCTTCCATCTCAATGTTTAAAACTGCTTCGATTATTTTGAGCCAAATTTTTTCATCCACAAAGTGTAAAAAAGTGTTTTTTAATGATTTTTATTTTCATATGCGCTAGGCCTTTACTAGGTTAACTGTCGTCAAGCAGTGTCAGTCGTTTTTAAAATACTTCACTGCCTACATTCAAAAAAGCGAATCTCCGGTCATATTTTAAAAACGACTGATACCAGACATGAATTGTGCGTGGAAAAACATGTACATTTTTGTATAGAGTGTGATTTAGATGTTTGTGCCATTGTATCCGGAATTTTTTTAACTTTAACCAGACGGCAAAGAAAGGTTTCGTCAGTCTTGCCACCCCCATCCAGAGTACCGCTTCGATTGGCAGCCATGGAATTCAATCAACTGTGCCAAATAGCGTAATCTGACCGACGGTTGGCAAGCCTGCAAACCGTTGCGGTACTCTGAATCGAAAATGAGATGAACAATCACTAGCATCAATGTTTAGGACAGCAATATAGTTGTTTTCGTGTCTAGTAATTACAAGGTTGGCAGCGAGAGGGCGCGCCCCGATTTCTGCTTCACATTTCGGCCGAATACTTAAATTAACGGACGCCCCCTAGCGCCAGTATAAATACACTTTTTTGTATTTTTTATAATTTTTTAGCACTTTGTACGACAAACAAATCAGTATTGTTGGGTTTTAATACAAACTTCTCGACAGTTTCGATGAAAAACTGAAGGATAAGTCAGTGCAAGTGTAGTGTAGTTTTAGTAAATGTTAGTTATGATGTATTCCTCCATTTTAGGACATCTTTTGCCTGAACTTGGAGCCCTTGGTTCGGCAAAAGCTCAGTTGTTGTGTCAACTTGCATTGACTTGAAGCGACCACGAAGTGACAATCAATGTTTTTTGAATATTTCATTGCGATTTTTGACACATGTTAGTGACAGTGAGGTAAAACAGAGGGCGCTTCAGTAATCTGTGTCGGGAATTGAGATCTCAGTGTATTAATTTTTATTTTTTAGTCGTGATAAAGTTGTGATAGCAAGGAAATTGTTGGGAAATTTGTGTGGGACCATTGATGAACGGGAATTGTTCAGTTAGTTCCCTTAGTACTTTCATTCAATTTCATTTTTTATCCCAACTGACGGATGAATGTAAACTGTTAAAAAAAATCAATACAAACTGAAAGTACGGTATTCTAAATAAATTAGTAGATTGGAACATGTATCACTGATAGAAGAAAAAAATTACTTGGTATCGACTCCTCGAGTCGGCAGTAATTGTGGATGTATAGTGATTATTTAATTAAAACAAAAAAAATAGATATTGATTACCTCTTTAAGTTAGTTTTTAAGTTATTAGATGTCAGTGTTGTACATATTGCATTAAAGTCACGTTTATAGACTCAACAATTCTACATTGTTTATTTTAAAGTTAATAAAAAATCCCTAACGAGTCTTAATCCCTTGTAGGATCTCTACCAAGTTCTTGTCCACCTTTTTTCCATATAATTTCCTTGTTAATGCTTCAAAATCGGCTGTTTCAATCTTAAAAAAACAAAACATACTGCATGAAACAAAACAACAGCAACATTACTTCGTGACAAGGATCGTTTTTCCGATCTGGTAACTGTGCACAATACTCAGGAGCCAAGAGACGTTCGCAGAGGGCGCACAAGCCACAAAACGTTTTAAAATCCATGACGTCATCATCTTTCCAACCAATCAAATCGCGATAGTACTTCTCTTGTTTCTCTGTCATTGCTCTACCCATCATCAAATTCAGCGCACTCTGGATGTCCTATTAATACAATAATAATCAAGCTTGTAAAAAATTTAAATAAAAACGTACTTTTCCTCGAATCTTTCTTTCACTAGTCGCTTCAAGTTCGTCGATTTTGAACTTGTTGAAAATGCAGTTGTATAATAATTTTCTAGGGCTTGTAATACTGACATTCTTTTGGATGTATTGGAGAGGTGTCATAGTTTCTAAGGTCCTGCTATCTAGAGGGAGCTCGAATCGGGCACTAGAGCGGGTAAAAACACGTGGTAAAGACAACCATAATTCTGTATTGACAGGAGGCAATTTTAACTCGTTTTGGATTTTAATAAGAGCTTCACAATTTGTTTTATCTTTTGGAACAGTTTTTAGAGCTTCTTGTAATGCAGTTCGTCGCTAGAAAACAAGTATATACCTAATTACCGAATAACAACTCTCATTAGTTTATTACTTTCTGGTTGAATTCATTATCAATCACTTCCTCATTTAACTCACGTCCCAATTGTTTCAAGATTTCAACATCTAGGAACGAGTCGACATCCCAACATTTTGACGGCCTGGCGGACCTTTTCCCCGTGTTGGGGACTTCCAAAGCCTCTTCAGGGGTGGCTGGTACCAGGGAGGGGCGAGCACTGGGGTTGTGCGAGTCTGGACCAATCGTAGCGACCTAAAAGCGACACCTATGGTTCAGGTTTATAATTACATTTTTGTGACAAACATGGGAACCAAATTTTTTATTGCAAACCTATGATACAAACTCTGATTTTCTATAATTACTTTTCTCTCACCTGTGTTTCTGGGTCAATTGAAGTCTGAAAAGCCGGCGCTCCGCTCGAACTTTCCCTTTTCTTCCTCCTTTTTTTCCCTCTACGTTTAATAAATTCGTCCTCTGCTTCCTCCTCATCGTCAGACTTTTTTTCTTCTTGTTTTTCTTTAGTTTGGGGCTCTTCAGCTTCTTTAGTTTTCTTTTTGAGGGCCTTGACCGAGCTGGGGGTCGATGACCTCGACACATTCGGGTTTGTCAATAAATGTGTCGGCGACTTTGTTTTCGGTGAAACACTTTCATCGAAGCTCCCAACTCGTGTGGGAACTCTCTGTATGCGTATAATTGGTGGTTCTTGCAAAGAGGAACTTCCATGCCATGACAGCGTCTCCTGTCAAAATCACATGTTTATGACGTTTGTTTGACAGTATTTTGTCAGCTGTCTCTATTTGAAATAATCCCAGTGACACGATGGCAAATTTCGATAAAATTGAAAGAAAATTGAAACAATTGGACCAGAGCCACTTATTGCAGTTTTTTTACACGTTTAGTGATGAAGAAAAAAAGAATTTCTTGCAACACTTGCAAAGTTTGGATTTGGACGCCAGTACGAAGCTTTTCCAGCGAGCGAAAAATTTCCTAGACGTGGCCCCAGACACAGAAGACATGAAGCCAATTCCTCATTCACAATTCGAGTCGGAGGAAGGTTGTGACAGTGAAACGCTTGAAAAATACAGAACAAGAGGTTTAGAGGCAATTGGTGCCGGGGAAGTTGGTGTCTTGCTTTTGGCAGGGGGGCAAGGCACCCGTTTGGGGGTTACATACCCCAAAGGCATGTACTCGGTCGGCTTACCCTCTGGGAAGACCATTTTCCAAATCCAGGCCGAACGAATCAGAAGGGTCCAACATTTGGCTAAGAAATACACAGGAAAGGCAGGTAAAGTCACTTGGTATATCATGACAAGTGGCCCCACGGACGAAATGACTGAAACATTCCTCAAATCGCACAATTCCTTTGGCCTTGACCCCGAAAATGTGGTCTTATTTAAGCAGGGCCTTCTACCATGTTTTGATTTCGACGGAAAAATTATATTAGAAGCCCCAAATCTAGTTGCCTTAGCCCCTGACGGCAACGGCGGGATATACCGGGCGTTGAACGTAAACGGAATTTTAGACGACATGCGGAGGCGTGGCGTTAAGTACATTCACGCCCACAGCGTCGACAACATTCTCACTAAAGTCGCCGATCCGGTTTTCATTGGCTACTTTATCGAAAAAGGTGGCGATTGCGCGGCCAAAGTAGTCAAAAAGGCGGGACCAACTGAAGCGGTAGGCGTGGTTTGTCAAATCAACGGTCGTTTCCAAGTCGTTGAATACAGCGAAATATCGGAAGAAAAAGCGCACTTACGCGACGAGGAGGGAAACCTTGTTTACAGTGCTGGCAATATTTGCAACCATTTATTCACAACTGCATTCCTTCAGAGGGTTAGTGATGAATTCGATGAAGAATTGAAGTTACACGTAGCGAAGAAAAAAATTCCTTTTGTTGACGATAACGGAAAAACGATCACACCGGAAAAACCCAACGGAATCAAAATTGAAAAATTCATTTTCGACGTTTTTCCATTCAGTGATCGGTTTGTGACTTGGGAAGTGCCGCGGAAAAGTGAATTCAGTGCAATGAAAAATACAGATAGTGTCGGTAAAGACTGTCCTTTCACAGCACGCCAAGATTTATTAGCCTTACATCGGACTTATATCGAAAAAGCAGGAGGCGTGGTTTCCGCAGAGGTGGAGATTTCACCCCTTCTATCGTACACAGGGGAGGGGCTTGAAGATCGGGTGAAAGGGAAAACCTTTACGGAAACCACAGTTTTATTGGGGGAGGAAGAAATTAGTATTAATGGTGGGAGGGTTTAAAACCGCGAATTGATAAGACTGCTTCCGTCCCGCCTACTTAATTGTATTTTATAAAAGACGCTTTTTATTCCACATGGTCGCAAAGTAATCACTAATCAATAAGATATCTCCAATTTTATATACATACTTAAGCTATTATGAAATGATAATAGCATTTTATTTAATCAAGGATCATAACAAAATCCCACAATATTTGTTTTAGAATACCCATTTAGTAACAAATAAATGGTGCAGCACGCAACATATTGTTTTATTTGCGACATTGTGGCACTGTACCTGACTGTGGCTCCGCCTCAAATCTAAAATAAGGAGTGTCTTTTCTCGAATTTGATTGGTAGGAGCGGGGTCAGGCGTGACACACCTCCTAGATCCCGATGCTCTGGTTGCAGCACTTGCCAATGTGGGAGCGGGTGTTAAAGGTCTCGAGTCCGTCTCTGTGTACCTATAATTTCTGTAAAATGTGACTATTTTGGGTGATTTTGTACCGTCTGAATAATTCCTCAGGGACGCTATCTAGGGCATTTATTTGGATATGTTTTTGATTGTTTTTCTCTAGGGGTTGAAAATTTTCGAATCCGGCTCTGATGGCTTCAATTTCTTCAGTTAATAACAAGTTTTTGCCCTCAGTGGCCTAAAAGATTTGTGTTTTTTTGCTTTTATAACTTTTATGTTTATTGTTACCCAAGAGTCTTTCACTCTTTTTAATAATTCCTTTGCTTCGTTATCTGTTGGATGATTGCAAAGGAGTGAACATCCGTATGGATAAGGGTTGTAAAGTCCTGCAAAGGGTTTAAGGACGAAGGGTGCAGAGTGTGCAAATGCCCGCAATTGAATCGTAGATACCTTAATAAGAAATTGATTTAAGGATAAAGCAATGATTACTTACTTTTTGTGCTCTGTAAATCTTTTTTGTAGGGCTTGCTATTAAACCAGTTCTTGATGTTTGATTCATTTTGATTAACTCAACAACAAACATCGATTTAATAAAGTTATTGACTAACGCCCCTACTTTCCTAACACGATGAAAACAACACTCCAGTGTCTTTTTGACGGATGTTTTAAACACGTAAATGTTATTGACTTATCGATTTAACTCAAATAAAGCGAGATGGATAACATTTAATACCACTACTTTATTTAATTTAAGAATGCAAGATACAATTGATAACTAAAAATTTATTCTCTAATGTTCATCCTCGTAACCATCAGGGAGAGCATTAGTGTGGGGGTTGTGGAACAAAGAGCGGGTTCCATCACCCCACGGGAACCTCTTAGTTCTGATTCTCAAATACTCATACTTGACAAACGGTGGTCGTTCATGGGGCTGATTGTAGTGGGCCAAGTAGCAGTTTACAGCACACAGAGCGATTGCTGGGAATGCTACAAAGAATGTCATGTTCCTCCAGATCTTGTAGCCCCCTGAAATGACACGAACCTGTTATGTAATCTCTGCTAACCTCAAAGTAATTTTTCGCAAAAATTATCTCACAAATGATTTATTACCTTCATGACCACCGGAAACAGCAGATGGCCCTTGGACCTGAACGGCCCTTCGAGCAGAAGTTTGCAAAAATCTCCGAACAGAGTGGTTGATAAGAGCGGCCATTTTTCTTTTCACTGGTATTTTGACGTTTGAATAAATAAAATCAAGGCTGCCAATCGACGTACATAACCTTCAAAGCATTTTTGAAAAAGTGTTTTATTTTTGGGCAAAATGGCACAAGACAAGGTTTCAGTTGCGTCAGACTGTGAAACAGAAAAACAGGAAGCAATGGCATTTTTGCGCGAACGGTATTTATACTTACTTTCAAGTTTATGTGGTAATTATTATAGAAAAAAAAAATGTTAATTTGTTAATTGTTTTGTGATAGTTACAGGGGCTGGAGATTGTGAAATAAAAATGTATGAAAACACGAATGTAAAATGCCGGATAAAAGCGTTCGATTCAAATTTTGAAAATATTATTGTTGAGGATCTGCAAACACCCATGCCTATCCCGATCAATAAGGCGATTTTGCGGACTAATGATTTAATTTCAATGAAGTTTAATTGTGACTATACTGAATTAATTAAATAAAACATTTTACCTTTTTTAATTTTACAAACTCTATATTTATTTTGGTGCCATAATTTTCTTTGTGTTGGTAATTGAGAGTAATAAACATAAACGTCACTTCACGAAGAATGTCTCGAAAAAATAAAATGTTTTAATTTGACCTAAATTTGTTAAAATTGAATTCGTCTGTGGAATCCCAGGTTCCCAATTTGCAGGTAGGTTTAAAATATCATCAAATTTCCTCATTTTTACAGGTTATTTTGACTGAATTGTGTGTATCGTAACACCTATAGTTCACCCGTTTTTTTCCATAATTTCTTTTATTTTACTTAAATTACTTAATTTAACTCTTTATTACTACTCAAATATTGTGAATTTGTGGATGGTTCATTGATTTTTTCAAATAAATATCAATCGATAGGTCGTCTTGTGTTGTGCTTGTGGCGGCAAATTTAAATTTGTAAACGGTAAGTTTTACTTAACCGAAATTAAAAATGTTGCGAATAAAAGGCCAATATTTATGTGTGAATTTTCTTTTACAGACAAGTGATTTAGTTAAGAAGTGTTTAGTGAATTGTGATAATGGAACCCATCGCACCGGGCACCGAGGGTGATCCTCCTGTTAATTTTTCAGCATCGACGAAACAGGTAAAAAGTAGTAACACTGTTGTTCTTACAATGTTTTCGGTATCTGTTTTGAGGATTGAGACTTCAGGTAAGTATCTTTAAAATTTGAAAAGTTCCATTGGAACTACTTCCCAAACAAAAAATACATTTTGTGGGTGATCTGTGGTTGTTCTTATTTTTTTCACAACGCATAATCAAATTGTGGCTTTTCGCCATGATTTAGTGCGTGTAATGTGCCAAAAATCAACTAAATTTCTTTAATTTTTTCAACAATCTTTGTTGAAAATACGAAAAGAAATGAAAATTCTGTAATATTATCTATTATATCATAAAGCATTGATTCGTTGTACGGTTAAGCGACTTTATTAATTGTTAATCTAAATCGAAAAATCTAATCCAGATTGTAAATCTTTCGTTTTCCAGGAGAAAGAACGTGAACGTTTACTAAACGTCAAAGCAGTTCTCCCAAACGGAAATTATGGAAATGTTTTCGAATTTAAATATATCAACGGGACTGAACATTGGTATTGCAATGCTTGCGCCTGTCCAGTCATGGGATGGGTTTTTCACCATGAAACTGGAAAACGCCATTCCATGGCTCTTGGGAACCAAAATCCAGATAGGTTTCCTTCATTACAAGACGTGGAGGAAGTGCCCACCATCCAGATAGCGCCAGGAGAACCAGTTCCTCCAGGATTTGAAGGAGAAATTGAGAAAGTCGCTCTTATTCAAGTAATGTTTCTCAAAAAACTTCTATAATAATTAAAAATATTTATTAAAGGAACGTCTGGATGTTTTTAATGTTGGCCCTTTAGTGGCTCTGGAATATCTCTTAGAATTGCGCGACTACGATTCAACAAAGGAACCGACTTATTTGTGTATTTTGTGTGATAAAAAAGGCGATCCGAGGACCGTTTTAACACACCTTGCGAGTTACAAGCACATATTACAGGTAAAAATCAGAAAACATTATTTTTTGCTAAGTATTTTTTTCAGTATTTGCAAAAACACTTTCCAACTTGTTACCGAGCTTTAGCTCCTTATATGACTAAACAATATAAAAGAAACTGGCAAATAGCTTTACATGAAATTGCTGAAGCAATTGAAAAGAAATTTGGGCGTTTGAAACCGTTACCAGTCGAAGCTGATAAATACGAGAAAGATCCCGTCCATTATTTAGAATTAATAGCCAAAGGCCGTCATTTTTCTGAATTGTCGGGTCATACGTTTGAAGAGTTAGTCAATAAAGATGAATTGACAAGAGTTCATGATGGTATTTATCTATGGCTGATTTTTCGGTGAAAAATTCAATTTTTTGGTTCCAGACGAGACCGATAAATTTTCTTATAATAAAGCAAATTTGCCTCAGACAAGCCAGAAGAAGAAAAGTCCCTCACCTCCTGTGGTCGCCAATCCGATTAAAAAGATCCGAATTGCGAATCCGCCTCCAGCAGCTGCCGGAAGTCGTCGTAGGTCACTTTCTAGCGTTTCAAGCGTGTCGAGTAGTGATCTTAGTGACTATGATGATCCTAAAAAACGTTCTTATAGTCGAAGGACAAGATCGAAATCGCCCCCACACCGAAATCGGAGCCGTAGTCCGTACAGTCGGAGGTAAATCGACCAATTATTCTCCCTTGTGTTTTATTTTTGGTTGTTTAGATATGAAAGGAGGTCTCCACCGCGGAAAGAAGTCTATTATAGAAGGGACGACCGGAATGAGCGACTTATGCCATGGGAAAAACCGAATTATCGGCGACCCAAAACCGAAAATCCGCCTGTTAAAAATAAAGTCGATAAAATGGATGAGTTTAAAAAATTGTGTAAGGCTATAGATAATGACATGGAGCGGGTTTTGAAGAATCATAAGAAGAATCCAGAGAAGCATCCTCAGTATAATGATGAGTGGAAAAAATTCTGGAATAATAGATATAAGGAGCTTCAAGCTGAGGGTAAGGATGTCTCGACTCATGACTTTAAACCTGAATGGATCGACTTTTGGAACAAACGCATGATCGAGCTCCACCACGAAGAAGTCAAGTTGAAGAAAGATGCTTTGAGGAAACGCCTAGGTCTTCCCGAAGAACCCTCACCCATCTGTTTCAAAATCATGGGAAAGAAGAAATTCGAGCCGAACAAGAATAGTCCGATGAGTAACAAACCAGTGCCACCTTCAGCATTACCTGATAATGATCCTGAGGTTATAGTTATTGATGACAGAGACGATGAGAGTAAGAGTTCGCGACGATCGCATAGTCCATGGGAGGAGGAACCTGTGAGGAGTAGTTCTCGAATATCACGTGACAAAAGTCGGGACGGTTCCAGGGATAGGAGTCGTGAAAGGATTGAACGGACGTCACGCGAACGTTCGGTGCGAAGCCCACGACGTGATAAATACAGCAGAAGTCCCAGAGACAGGTCACGAGAGAGAAGTTGGGATAGGGATTACAAAATCAAGGATTATAGGAGGGAACGGATTAGGATCGTCAGCGAATTGCCGTGGGAACGAGACCGCAAATCTTACAGGAATGAAATTCCTAGTTATTACAAACCACCAGCTGTCATGCGTGATGTTACAAGAGAACCGGTTTTGACTCCTCCCCCTGTTGCGCCGGTCACCGAAGAGGAGGATGACGGGGAAATTAATATCGTGGCTGTTTTACGACTTTTAACAGCTCTTGAAGAGAAATTAGGATCACTAGGACCTAAAGTTATCGATTTATTAGCGCAAGCACTTGCTATGGAAAAGAACGAAGCCAATAGTTCGGAAAACTTGCTCGATAATGAGATTAATTGTGTGATGTTTGAAACGGTTAAAGAGAAATTGAAAGGTCAGCTATTGGCCGGTTTGGTCGAACCAATTCAAGAGAAAGCGTTCAAAAATGCGATCAAGAAAACCGCGAGTTTGATACATCTCGCCGGCGAACGCAAAAAGGAAAAAGAAAAGAATCAACCGAAAGTTGATCCTGTCAAAGTCCCCGGAGTTGGGACTGTTGATAAGGCTGCAATTGCGAGACAAATCGCTAATGCTTTAGTTTTGCAAGGCAAGACTGATGTGACTCAAGCTGAGCTTGAACAGTTAATAAATGCAGTAGTTGGAATGGCGGAAGCGTCCAGAAATTCAAATAAACCGATTACAACTGCCTCATTCCTGGAACAAATTACAAAAGCTGGAAGCTCGAAAGAGAAAACACCACCGAAAGAAGTTAAACCTTCTGTTCCGGCTGTAACCGAACGCGTGACGAAAAGTCCCGAAAAAATGACCAATAAAGACATGGAAGGATTGTCCGATTCTGATTTGCAGACCCTTCTCCAGAATTTCAAAGATCTCTCGACGGAAGAACAGCACAGTTTGATCAACTATTTGAAGAAATTAGAAGCCCGTGAACCGGATCGAGTCGAGCGGTTACGAAAGTTCGTAAATCTGGGTGGCCAATCTCGTGAAAAGCCCGAAGAGAAGAAAACGGGTCGGGAAAGTCCGTTTTCAAATCGCATGGGAAGCGTCAATCCCAGTGTCGAGGAAAATCGGTTCGAATCTGAAATTGAAGAACCGAAGAAATTTGAAGAGACGCGCCCCAAACTCCCGATTGATTCCGATGAGGAAGATTACACTTTCGAGGATGTGGTCAAAGCGGCCTCAAAGAATGTCAAAGAAAAAGAATTGGAGAAAGAGCGGGAGATAGTCGAGGAAAGTATGAAGTTTGAATCGAAGAAAGAGGATTTGAATCTGGATGATACTAAAGCCATAATTTCGAACATTATGAGTAATATTAACAAGAGTGATGTCGCTCAAGGTAATCTTTTGGGATTGGGATTGGGTAGTGGTCAAGGTTTATCAGTGAGTTCGGCCGATTTTGCTAAAACTTTAAATAGTATTCCGGTGAATATGGCCAGTCTTGCCAACATTGTCGGTAGCGTACAAAGTATGACAAAGGCCAGTATGGCGCCATCTGTAAATCCGCCAATGAATGTTCCCAAGAGTTTTGAACCGGTGCAAAGTAACAACTTTGGTGGGTATGGGGGCCCGCAGGAAAGACAGTTTCAGGGTCAGGGATATCAAAATAGACCTAACATGCCATTTGGAGTGAATTATCCCCAAAATCCATATCAGGCACGGCCAAATGTTGCTTATCCGATTGATAAAAATAAGGTGGCTTATCCTAATTACGCCATTTATGGTCAAGGAAACCCACAAGGACCCCCTCAAAGGCCGAATCAGCCCAGCTTTGGTAATAACCAGTTCGGTAATAATGTTAATAGAAATAATTATAACAGATGGTAGATTAAGAGTTTATATCATCTTAATGTAAGGCTTTTTTATGTTAATTTATGTGTAAGCAATAGTTATGAAGATACATTCGCGCAGAAATTATGAATAAATGATTTTACTTAAAATTTGCAAGTCTTGATTAGTAATTTCCACTTGTGATGTACAAGTGTGGACGGGCAATGTCTTATGGCATTTGATTCTATTTTTTTAACAAACAAATGATTTGGTTGTTTTTTTAAACATTTATTCCCATGTATTTAACAAAATATACAAATGATATAGCGAGAAACAAACGGCTCCAAATAAAATAACCATTTGCATGTATTTCATGCTGGTACAGTATAAAATAATATCCATATTACAGCTCACGGTATACCATTAGTGAAATCGAGTGTTTTTTTAACGATGTGGACCTTACGATTTGATAAGCAAATAATGTAACAGTGTTTATCATAATTGATTGACAGTTTTTTAAAACCTTCTTCAAAGGCAGCTTTATCAATATGCGATGTTAAATTGATCAGTCCCATAATAACCACAGCGGACTTTTCATCATTTTCCAAGTCGCCTGAAGATGATAGAACAGCCCCTTCTTCATTTAGTACCAGATAACCTGTTTGGCCCGGAATTTTATCCATTATAACCCTATCACAGTAACAATATACGTAAATAAAATACAAACTTAATTTTATAACTTACTTCCTTATTTTAGTCGACTTATAAGTAATTTCATGTTAAATTCACTCTTTTTGTGTCTAGGGGAATCAGATGTTTGTCAATCAAGGTTTTGTCAACTGTGGCTTTGACAGTTCTCATTAGATCGAATTTTCAGTAGTTCGAAATAGCAGAGACGAAATAGATTAAATAAAACAAATAAAGGATAAAATGGCGATATAATTGTTGCGTAACAAAAAGAGGATATAGCTCCTAAAATTAGTTGTAAAAAATATGAATCACAATCTAATAACAAAATAAAAGTATGATTAACTAATATGAGAATCAATGAAGTGTTAATTCTAAGTCATATAATGAAACACTAACATAGCTTTACAATCAAGGAGGCTGCGTGCGATATCACCCAATAATAGTCATACACATCTTCAACTGCCATTAGCTAAGCCTCCTACATCTACAATTAGCCTTATATTTTTTGCTCTTACAGAAAAGTAACATGTCCCATGGTTAAAAAAAAACACTGATCAAAAAACTTAATACTGGAAATAAAAGCACGTCAAATGTAATAATGCAACTGAAAAACCACGATACGTTTAGTGTGAGATTCACGTCGGGAATGTCCTAGTTATATCACAGATTTTTAAAGCAGCGAATTCTGCCGAGACGCGAACAAGATGTTTAAAAAATAAAAACATAACAATAAAAAATGGGACAAAGAGTAACAATAAAAATTGGCAGTACTGTTTAATTTTCGTTTACACTAAGTGACTAGATTTCAGCACAAACGCGAGAACTTTTCGATTATTTCTGTAAGCGGTAAAATTTCTTCAACATGAGCTGGCGGTTTGGTTTGCGCCCGAAGCACACTCCAATCGCGCATTTTCAAAGTATATAAAATAACGTTGGACTGATCACATAGTTTCGAATAAACGTTGATTAAACCTCGGTAATCGTACTCCAAACCTGAATACGTCTCCCCAAACAAATTCAGATTTATTTCCATTGAGCGCATGTATAGTTTCTCGGCGTCGTGATGGCGTTTCATGTGATAGTTATACAACGAGGCTAGATGCCCGATACTGAGCCCCACCTCATAATCGGCGCTTCCGAGTAACTCTTCTTTTATGGCAATTGCTTTCAAATGCATTTTCTCCGCTTGTTCGTACTGACGCATACTTTGATACAAACGTCCCAAATTGCCGTAATGCTTTGCTGTTTGGACGTTTTTCTCCCCAAAGGCTTTGCCAGACAACTCCAAAGCCGTCCGATGCAACTCTTCAGCTTCAATCAAGTATTTTTCTTGTAAATGCGAATTATTTCCCTCACGCATATCCAAAGCTATTTCTTCAAGGATGAGAGCCTTTACTCGTTTCGCTGAAGCCAGCATTAAGTGGTTATCGGGGAGAATCCGTTCCATGAGACGAATCGAACGGTCCGCATTTTCCCTTTCAATCAAAAACAAAAAAAAAATTAGTCTACGCCACTGGAAAATGCAGTTCAAGGTTTGCGGCCCTGTATTAACGTTTAAATAATTTTACCACAATTATTGAGTAGAATTTTCAACAAAATTATGTTAATCTTATATTGTATTTTAAAACTTAGCAAAAAATAAAATTACAAAAAATTTATCCAAGTCTAAGGTGGCGTAAAATTATTTTCCTGGGGTTGGCACCGTGATGTCAGCCATCTTTCAATCAAAATTTAATATTTTTTTATAAATAATTTTTCAACAGGTGAGATTAAATATTTGCAGCGAATAATAACGGTGAATAAATAAATTACCTTGCAGCATAGAACCTCCCAGAGCTGTACTCATTGACATAGAGAGCATAAGCCATATCTTCGTGTGCCAAAGCAAGATGAATATTATTTTTTTCAAAAACGTTCATTCTGATTTGAAGCGATCGTTCATAGACTTTAACACTTTCTGGAATTGAATCAAAATTGAGTAAATAAAATCCATAATCAAGCAGCGTGTCAGAAAAATGGGGATGACCGTCACGTTCATAAATTTCCGATGCTAAATTAACAGCTTGTCTTATGAGAAGTCCTGCTTGATTAAAACGTCGTTTGACTACGCAAGCTCTTGATGCTTGTCTTAACACTTCAATGATGATTCTACAATAAAATTATTAATACGTGAGTAGCAGGTAAACAAAATGTTACCTTGATGGAAGTTTGTCATTAAGTAAGACTAGTGCTTTTTTAGACCAAGCAAATGACTGTAAACGTGAGAAAATTAGTGAAATTTGATAACGCGTCATAAAGACTGTGTTACCTCATCATATTCACTACGATGAAAGTATAAAGTTGAGAAATTTGCATAAAGGCCAGCTAAGTTAGGTAAAGCGTCCAATTTTTCTAATTGTTTGATCACCTTCTGCGCGGAATTGAACGTATTTTCGGCCGCTTTGAATTCGCAGTAAACTGTCTCAGCGTAAATTCGCCTAAAATGATTTCAAATGAAGTTTAGAAAAAGCAAATTGGGGGAATTACTTGTGATAGCACTCAAGGCATTTTTTCAAAATCTCCACGCTTTCTGTTTGTTCTTTACACAAGTCTTCTGTTATTGTCAAAATCTTAATGCTATAGTCATACCAGCCCCCTTCATTGAAGAAGCTACCAATTTGTATGCCTACACTTATAGCTCGCAAGGGGTCCTTTTGCAAGTAACTTGAAAAATCCTGGATTAATTCGTCAGGAACGTTCGATCCGTGATTAATTAAACCTTGAAAACTCTTCAACAACTTGACGCGTTTATGTTTAACGTTCAACATTCGAATAAAAACTTCCAGTTCACTGAATTCAACAGCAAGAAGGCACGCCCGTTTTTCAGTGAACATCTAGAGTGATCCAATTATTTAATGGAGTTGCGATAAAACGCTATACTTACTGTATAATAAAAATCAAAGAGGACATTGTCAGGCAATGATCTGAACTCTTTTTTACAAAATTTACAAACAGTAACACAATCTTTGACAGCTGCTTTCACACAAATTGCGTATAACGATGGAGGACTTTTCATTTTTAACACGATTCCACACAATATTGAACTATTTTTTATTTGCTAATCACACATTAATGAAGCAGCTGATATAACTCCAAATAACATTGACCAGCTGAGATATAAACACGATAGATTTCTGTTTTATCGACGTGACACATACGTCAAAACAATCGATTTTGAAATAACAAGTTTATTATTGTACAAATTACAAACGTTATAGTTATTTACGATATTATACAAAGATTAAATGAAAACAAAAATAACATTAATAAGTAAATATTGGTGACTTATATTTTATAAGGTGTAAAAAACTATTATTTGGGGCGAATTAGATTTGTTGGGCACTTGAAAAATCATAGCTTGCTGCTTGTGATGTGTGTGGGACGTTTCTATCTATGTCTTCATAACTAGATTGTTGTGGAGTTTCCCCAAATAAACCTGATAACGCCCCTGCAAAAAATTGTAACATTCTTTTGTTTTTGTTATCAGTTTTCCAAACCATTGGATCCCGTTCTTTCTTCAAGATTTTTAATCAAAACAATGCTACTGAAAGGACGAACAATTAAATGTAGGATGCACATTGCAGCAGAAAATTTTTCTCTTGCTGATTGTGCTAAAAAATCAGTTTAATTAAATTAACGTAAGACAAAAATAAAACTTACAATCGCTTGGATAAGACATTACTAATAGTAAAATGTCTAAAAATATAGAAACTCCGTTTACGACAATGGCCTAGAACAATTTAATTTAATTAAGATTCAATGATGATTCACGCTTTTTACCAATTGCAAGGGTTCCTCATTTTGTGGTTGAACAAGGCTCCATACCAGGAAAATAATAAAAAAGAAATTATAAAATAAATAGGCTGAAGTGCTCCAAAAACCCATTGAACTAAGGGCGATAAAAACAAAATGTGATAAAAATATCACCTAAAATATTACGAAATAAAATAATGATAAAAACGAACTTTGTACGTACTTTTAAATTAAAATTTCGTATCTGGGGTAAAGCCGGCATTTTGCGTTTAATCTTGATTACTCAATAATAAAATAAAACGAAGATCCAAAATAAACGTTCATCACTTTTTGACATCGATGACATTTCTGTCAAAGTGACCGCCAGCACACCAATATCAGGCAAATTAATTCCCCAAATTGTTAAAAGTTGTAATCAACTTTTTTGCTTTATTTACGAATTAAAAGCAAGTTAAAATTGAAAGTAGAACAATTTTGTAAAAGCAAGAGTATGGCTTTATTTAGAAAATTTGCAATTAATTTTAAACTTGTAAATTAAGTACATCTACTCAAAATTTCTTGGCCCGGGAAACTAATTTGTGTCCCCGATCGTGTGACACTGTCCGAGGCGATAAAACATGCACTTCTGAGGATATTTTCCATTGGTAAATTGGGATTATTCGCTAGAAGATAAGCCAAGGCACCTATAAACGCATCGCCGGCACCAGTGGAGTCAACACTTTGGACGGCAGGACATGTAAGGAAAATACAATTTGAATTTTTTGCAAGATATAAAGCCCCCTCGGCGCCTAAGGTTAAAACCACGCTGTTGCAACCTTTGGATATTAAGGCGTGCGCGGCCGCTTCTGCCTCTCTTAAATTACAATAACTTAATTTTTTGCCTATTGAAGGAAAAGCAATTACTGTTTTGTAGTAACTGGTAGTCCAGTAAATTCTGAAGCTTCCGTTTCATTGACACAAAAAATAGTTGGTAATTGGAGTAATTTAGGGTCGTACTGTCTCAAAGCAGGCGCTCCATTTAAAATTGATATCTGTAAAAAAAAATGTAGCTATTTTGTGACAAACAAAAAATGGAACTACCCCTTTTGCCAACTGCATGGCCTTTATGGCAACTTTAGGTGAAGTTTCAAGTTGCATGACCACAACACCAGCCGAAATTATGTCATTTTTGGCCAATTCGACATCTTCAACGCTCAATTCTTTATTAGCACCTGCTACAATAACAATTTGATTATCACCAATTTCAGAAACGGTAATTTGTGCGATTCCGCTGGAAAAATTCGGCGTTTTTTTCACGTATTTAGTCTCAACATTTTGATCTTTTAAATTGGCGATATATCTTTCACCCCATACATCATCTCCCACCTGAAATTTTTTTATAAAATGGGGGCAAAATGTTAGTTTACGTACTTACTCTGGCAATTAGAGTGGTTTTACCCCCTAGCTTGGCTGCAGCGACGCACTGGTTGGCCCCTTTGCCTCCAAAATTTGTAACGAATTTGGTGCCATGAATGGTTTCGCCTTTTTTAGGTAAACGCGGCGCGTAACTACAAATAGAGATGTTTTTGCATTTTTTTGGTTATGTATTTACCTAACGAAATCTATCATGCAAGAACCAACAACGACAATGGAATCGGACATGTTTAGTGTTATCTTATCCTATGTTATCTATATGTAACACTAAAACTGGAGTATATTTTATTTGAAGATAAACAGGAAGTGTCATGTTTAGTAGGTTCTAACCTCAGAATAATAAAGCAATAGTCGGGGAATTAGCGCGAATTAAATACTGTTAAATACGAATTAATCCATTATTTCGTGTTATTTTTATGAAAACGAATTTGAGTTTTATTTGGATTTAAAATTATTATTTTCCCCATATTTTTAATCAGAAGCGCCGCCTAACGGTCATCTGTCAACTTGTTGCTCCTCTCAAGCCCTAACCTTAAAATTTATTTATTTTTCTTCATATAAATATGAGTCATGGCTAAAATTTTTAACGCAATAATTGTGGCGATCTTTGTTTGTTGCTTCAAATATTCGGACGGTAGTGTATGTATTTCGGAAGAAGGCCAGTGCCTTTGTCGAATCAATGAAAATAGTAGAATAGACTTGAACCAAATTTGGGAAAATAGTCTCGTTGATAGCGACAGCTCAGGCAATAGTTTCTATTTTTGGGGATGCAGAGATGGGACCCAAAATATAACATTTAACGGCACTGTGAAATCTGTCACCGGTTCGGTAATTTATTTGTTTTATTAACAGTTGGGTCATTATTTGCTTGATTTTTTCCTAGTTGATTTGGGCGAACGCTTCTGTCGCCAAGCCTTTAGGATTTAAGAAAGAAATACGATTTCATCTCCTCGACGAGAAAGAAAAGTTTTACGAAATTGTTTACAAAGAGGGGCAAAAGTACGAGCATTTTGTTTTCTTATTCACATTTTTTACTTATTGATTGATAATTGTAGTGTCAAGGCTTCAATTCACCTCGTTTGTACTCCTGAAGACACGTTTATTAAAATTCTGAATGCAAACAGTACAAATGTAAGTTGCTTCAAAAAAAGTGTAATTTTACTAATTTAATTGTAGCCCCAGTTAGCGTTAGGTTCGCCTCATGCTTGTGTTATAACTGAAAAGACGGGTCTGAGTACGGGTTCAGTCCTCCTTTTAATATGCTTTATTTCGTTTGGGATCTACTTCATTGGAGGAATGCTCATTTTGTATTTCATGAGAGGTGCAAGAGGGCTGGAAACGATTCCAAATATAGATTTTTGGAGAAGTTTGCCAGGATTAGTGAAAGTAAATTCACTTCACTTTATTGTTTTGTCACAAATGTTTACCTTTCTTTTCTAGGATGGCGTAATTTTTCTTTTCAGTGGCTGCAGTGCCAGTTCTATTACAACACCAGAAACTTACGACAGAATTTAGCGATATTTTTTTAGGTGTTTTGCGACTGAGTGATTTTTGTGTTTGTATAAATTTATAAAATAAAGTTACTTTAAGTAAATCGTTTTTCTTTACTTTAGCTAGTGCGCCATTACGTAAATTTCAATTTGTATTATTTATTACATTACCGTAATAGAATTCTTATTTACATTGATAAACAATGACCTTGCATTTGAATGTTATTTTTCACACAGAAACTGCCAGGTTATTGTTTTAATGAAAATCAAATTACGAGATTATAGTGAAGTACTACGTTATTAATAATAATCTATTCTTTTGATTCTTTCAGTGATAATCAAAATCTAATCGCAACAACCAATGAAGTAATATTTACAAATAGTGATATTAGCACTTTTGTTACTACCTGCCTGTAACCTGCTCAATTATCATGTCTCTCCGAAAATTATCCTATTATTTAATCAAAGGTAGTTATTTAAAATAAATCGTAGGTTAATTAATGACCCCCAAACATTTTCAGCGGTTCCAAAACCCAACAGTCGGAATTTCAGTCTACACAAGCTCTCTGAGGACCATCTCATGATACAGAAAACATGTAGAGAATTTGCCGAACGTGAATTAAAACCAATCGCTGCCCAGTTAGACCGAGAACATAAATTCCCCGAGAAACAAGTAGTAAAAATTCGAGAAAAAATCAATTAACTGCTGTGATTTTTAGATTAAACAATTGGGGCAGTTAGGATTGTTGGCCATAAGTGTGTCAAAGGAATACGGAGGTTCGGGTCAAGATAATTTAGCTTTGGCGGTGGCTGTTGAGGAAATCGCACGAGGGTGTGGGGGCACCGGCGCAATTGTTTCGATTCACAATTGTCTTTACTCCAATCTGCTTAACCGATTGGGGACAGAGCAGCAAAAGGAGAAATTCTTGTGCCCCTTTATAAGGGATTCAGAATTGGGATGTTTCGCACTGAGTGAACCTGGTTGGTATTTGGTATTTAAATTTTAGATATGTAATGAGGGGATTTAGATGCGGGTAGCGACGTTGGGGCAATGTCAACCACTGCAGTAGCCGATGGTGACTGTTACGTCCTCAATGGGACTAAATCATGGGTCACCAGTGGCCCTGTGGGCAAAGCAGCTATTGTTTTTGCCACAGTTGATAAACAGTTGAAACACAAAGGTATAACAGCTTTTATTGTGCCTTTGCCCTCAGAAGGGCTCACTTTGGGTAAAAACGAGGATAAGTTAGGGATCAGGGCTTCGCCGACTTGTAATCTCATTATGGAGAATGTTGTGGTGCCTAAAAGTAACGTCATTGGTATGTAAATAGCTTAAATAGTATAAAAAATAAATTGGGGGTTGAAGGTAATGTCGGAGATGGGTTTGTGATAGCAATGACTCAGTTAGATTTTGCAAGGGTGGGAATTGCGGCTCAAGCCCTGGGAATAGCTCAAGCCGCTTTGGAAGTTGCTGTAAATTACGCAAGTCAGCGAAAGTCGTTCGGACAAACAATCAACCAATTCCAGGCTGTTAAAGTAACTTAAATCATTTTCCTAAATCATTTTACTAAGTTATAATTCCAGTTGCGGTTAGCGGATATGGCTGTAAAATTAGAATCAGCGCGTTTACTAGTTTGGAGGGCCGCAGTCCTGTGTGATGAGCCCCAAAGGTCGACAAAAGAATCATCAATGGCAAAACTAGCGGCAAGTGAAGCTGCCACTTTCATCACTCATGGGGCTATACAAATTTTAGGTGGCATGGGTTATATTACCGATATGCCGGCAGAAAGGCATTACAGGGATGCGAGAATTACGGAAATTTATGGAGGGGTTAATGATATACAGCGGTTATTGGTCGGGGATAAAATAATCAAGGAGTATCAAATTTAAAGCATTTAAAATTTGTGGTTATATAATGTTTGAGATTATGTGCAAGGTGCAAGTGGTGAGTGATTTTATTGATAAATTTATAAGCAAAGTGAGATGTTTTATATTTTTCTAATTCTCAACAAGCGTAATACTCCATCAGTTATTGTTTTTTGGTGATATATAAGGCGGGTATGTTGTTTTGATTGAAAGTGAGGTTATGTCATTTATTTACAAACATGGATTTTACATAATAAATTTATTGTGATGGTTGTATAATAAGTATTTATAGATTATTTAATATTATTTATATAAAAACAATGAATTACGGTTCATTTTGGGCTTGAGACGAATTCAAGTCTTCGGTACTTTTGTGATAAATTGTAACGTCCTGGAATTTCGAATTCGGGACTTTAAAATCGTAGCTCACAATATTCCGGTCAAAGGGAAACCCGAAAGCGTAATTGTCGATATAATTCATTCCGGTGCCAACCCGGTGGAAGTAATAGTCCTGTTGGGCCTCCTGGCGTCCAGGGGCCTGATAAGGATTGATGATCACATAAAATTGGAAAATTTGGCCTTCCCGTTTGCCTTTGGGCAATAAAAGTCTGTTTGGAAACCCATAGAAAGCTTCACTTGAGTCTAATTGGAGACTTTCCGTGTTGTCAAGGGCCCCCAGAATTTTTTTGTACAAGTCTCTGTAAGTAGTTTTGTCAGGGACGTACCAGTAAAAGTCTCGTGAGGTGCGCTCTATCACATTTTGCCCCGCTTGGAGTTTATATCTGAAGGTGTCCAACTCGACGAAATTGAGACGTTTTTCGGTCATGGATAATTTACGGCCGTATTCGTCGTATTTGGGACCTAGGAACAGTCTCACGACTGCATCGTTAACCTTGTCGGAATTGACGTAGATCTTGAGGGTGAAAGGCTTGTGGTTGAGTCTCTGTTGGCGCACTTTTACTTTGAAATTTTCCCATTGGAAATACGGAGGAGTGTAAACGGCGTTAGCCACATCTGAATCGAAATAATCAAAGTAGGTAAAAAGTTTATCAGCGTCGATTTTCTCGATTTTCACACCCGGAAAATTCAATTCGTTGTACGTATAAGGGGGCAAATAGACCTTGTATTTGAGAAATTGCAATAGAACTTTTTTGTAAAATTGATAGAAAGCTGGGTCTCTTAACGCGGTTTCAAAGTGTTCAAGAACCGAAGGTGCTACTTTGTACTTGTCCAAGGGTTGGTAGGAGTACCCTAAAAGGTGACGTCCGAAAATGTCCCAAGGACCGTAATAACGGGGGTTGATAGAGTCCGGATTTGACTCAATCATGTTTCCCAAAATATTAATCTGGTCTGAGCTGTACAAATCGACCAATTTGCCACTTTTCTGGAAATCGTAATTTTATAAGAGGAGAACTTTCAAGAAGACTTACCGTAAAAGCAAAACCTGAGTCAATAGTGTCACTGATTCGTCGTTCGAAGTCCTGTACTCTGGTGTAGGAGTAGCCGTAGGCACTTTTGTATGTCCAAGATTGGCCAAAATTGCTCCAGGTTTCACTGAGAGGAGCATAATTTGGCCTATTGGGAAAAGCAAGTCCTGTGGGGTAGCGCAATGAAGAGTAGTAACCATACTTGAAGGGCTCGTCGTAATTGAAAAATTCAATTTCGCCAAAATCGTTCGAGAGTCGTTCTAGGTAGTACCTGGCTAGGAGTTGTTGGTATAAGTAATAGTATTGTTCCCCCCGACGGTCATTTTTCAACTTAAACTCCTCCCCATCCATCCAGAACGGATAATAGATGTGGCAATAGTAGTAAAATGAATTCAAGCCGATGTCTTCCAAGAAATATGAAAGCGATTGTTCCTTGTTCAAGTTCAAGTAATAACCCGAATAATTTGAGTAAATCGTGTAGGTTTTAGTGCCCCCATTGTACGCCTGTTTGTACCGTTGAGCCTTCTCGAGGTCTTCACTATTGAAGAAATAAAACGGATAAATTTCGTAAATCGGTGGCAGGATGAAAGTAAAAGTATCATCACGGTGGACCAAAGCGGTGGAAAATGCATACAAGAATAGCCCCTCGTTCAGGTTATTCCTCGCCCAAACTGCAGTTTTATACAACGTGTCAAAATCCCTGGCATAGTAGAACAATTTGAAGAGACTTATTGCTTGTAACCGGTGTTCGTAGTAAAAAATTGAAAAGATTTCGCCTTGAGGGAGCAACCCCAACTTGTAGAAAGACACGAATTGTTTAACAGCAGTGGAATTGATATAAGCGTCTACGTTTGCTTCGATTGAGTAACTTTTCGAGATTTTTTGCCGATTTTCGTTGAAGTCGGGTTGGTTGACATTGCGAAAAAGGTCTAAAAGGTCGCGTTGACGTTCGAGGAAAAGCTTGTCGGCTGAAGGAAACGATGTTATTTCTACAAAAGGTAAAATTGTCTCTACTTACAAACTTTGAATTTGCGCTGACCGACTCCGTATTCTTGAAAGGAAAAAATGGTGCCCCAAAGGCACAGGAAGATGACCACAATCTTCATCGTGAAGATGAAGATTGATTCAAACTGTGCGTTTTATATTGATGAGCTTGCATTTAACCTTTGCATTATCATGTTTACCAACAGTGGGTATGTATTTTTTTTTGAAGTTTAGTGGGTTTATTGACTGGATTGTTTTGTGATTAGTTGTAGAAAAAAGAGTGAATACAATAGAGGAAATTGTGTGATAGGGAATTATTATTACATAAAATTATTTCATAACAGTATTAGTAAGTTTTAATTATGGCACGTGATTAGCGATTAGATCTTTAAAACTTTGGGTCAATTTTTATGATGAAAGTTTTTTTAAGCCAAATAATTGATGGAAGAAATAGTAATTTAGTTTAATTTTTTGGTGAGTTTTTGGAGAGAAATGAGACAACAGTTTATAGTAACAAAGTTTAGTTATTGAATACATTGAGATTAACAAGTTTCGGAAACACCAGCGACCTAAAAACGCTGCTTTGGTGCGTGGCCTTAACTTTGGGCAAATGCGCGACTTTATCGCGAATATCTGACCTCGCAAGATCACCTCTCAGACTCAACAGTCGTAATAAATGGTCTTCGGTGATATCGGGATACTTTTCAACAATTCTATGTAGTTCAAAGGATAACATATCATCGTCGCTTTTTAATACTTCCGTTAACAAAATGACACTCTCAAAAGGGTCATCGCCTTCTAAACTACACAATGTGTCTAGTAATTTTCCTAATTGTTTGGCCTCTTTCACGATTTTTCCACTAGCTTGGACGCTCTCTTCGTAGGTTTTAAAAGTGACTTTTTTCGATAGTAATGCGGTTAAGTAGCGTTTAGAGACCAAAGAGCGGGCTTGGTGGACAATGAACTTGTAATTGGGTTCACTGAGACGATTATAGTCTTGAAAATAGTCATCGAGAGTTGCACATATTGTGTCCACGGGGAGGGAAGTACCCAACCAACGGGGGGTGAATAATTCATCAAAGTGTTTGTCCAAATCTAAGAACAATTCTTCGAGTAAAAAGTCACCGGAGTCGTTTCGTAATTGAATGAAAGTTGTCCTCAATCGGTTAAAATTCTCACCGAGTGCTGGGGGAGATGAGGGAGTCCAATACTGTTTTTCCAACTGAGACCCCAAATCGGCCAGTTGAAGACAATTATTGACAATCATAATCATATATTGGGTGAAATACGGGACCTGTTTTCGGTCTTCGAAATATTTATTTTTAAATTCGACAACTGCTTTCCGATACATGTCTCCGTAATTTATGACTTGTCCTATGCTCAAAATTAGGACTTTGCACGTCATTTCGTCGCTTATTGTTTTACATACTTGTAGATTCTGGTCGATCATTTGGAATATTATAATGGGAGCTGCAGTTCGGGTATAATTATCGGAGTTTGGTTCAATATTGGATCTCCATTCTTGCTCTTCTGAATTTAAAGTGTTTCGCATCCATTCTCCGTAATTTATTTCAATGTTTCGCAAATAATCGGCTTCGAGAGTCTCCATAACGGCTTGGGGGAGCAAAGGGTCTAAGTGTTTGGTATATTCGATTAAATCAGGGTGACCTAGCAATTCAGCGCCTTGGTAAGTCTTGCTAACCCATGACAGTATTGTAACGTATTCATTCCCTTGTATTCCGTTTTGAATAACTTCTTGTAAGTGTCGGGACAAGCAGTGGTGGTACATTTGGATGTATTTATCGATAATTCCATATCTCGGAGGGAAGCAGGGGACACATAAAGTTTTAACGACTCGTAAATCTTCCAAAATTAGTTGTCGCGTTAATTCTAAGTAGCGTATGAGCCAATGTTTGTTGTCTTCGCGTTCGTCCACTTGTGTCCCTTCAATTCTGGTAGCCACCGACTTTTCTAACACTTCGAATGCCATTTCTTTCCACTTTTTGGGCCGTCCAGGGGGCAGGAAACCGGTTTGTTTCGCCTGTTTTAATGCTTCTTGATCGGTTTTTTCCTCTCGTTCGATTATCCGGAGAGCTGTGACAATCACAGTTGGTTCTTTTCTCACTGTATTCAGTGTACGCGACAAAATTAACCTCAATTGTTTTTCTAATAAATTCGATAAAGTTTCAACGTCGGCAAAATACGCCTTAAGCATCGATTTATCATGCGGCGACTGATTCGGTAATTTATGCAATTCGTAAAGCAAATCATCACGAGACATTTCCAAATCCCTCAAACACTGGTGTGTATGGAGGAGCTTCCCTTCATTTATCCACTGTTTGGTCTTTTCCACACTTTCTGGCACCGTAAAAATGTGTTTCAAATTCTCGCGCGCAGTCACATATTGCGAATGTCGCATATTTTCGTCCCGTACTTGATTCAGTTTGGTGCACAACTCGGGGACTTCGTTAAATAAAGAGAACATTTTTTTGATGCTCGTGTCAATCTCGCGGACGTCTTCGAGGCAACAATGGAGTTGGTTAAGGCCCACGCGGACTCCGTCGAGTTGTTGCTGCATTGCGGACTTTAGGAGGGCCTCTACGGAGTTTTTCTTACGTGTGAGACGGCGTTTCAAGTGATCAACTTTTTCCAATTGGCCTGGTCTTTGAAACATGTTGATTACGTGCGCCGTGGCCGAGGCTTTAGCTGTGGCTTCTAATTCACGCATATTTGATTTTGTAGTGGTCATTGTGGGCTGTTTTTAAGGGGCGAATTGACATGTCAATGAACCTAACCTAAACTGACAAGTTTGACTTTTGGATATCTAAAATCCGTAGTGTCAACAGGTGTATTATTGGTTGTCTAACTCAAAGAGAATTTGTATTTAAAATAATTTAAAAACCGGAAAAATTGGTGTTGCACGTGATGTTCACGTGCTCAATGACGATAAGTTATATCATTACATGTGTAATAATGTGGATTTTTGTTTGATTTGACGTTTGATAAAATTTGACGTTGTTGGTTTTGTTTCACGGCGACGCCGTCAAAAAACGTGATCAGCACGTCACAGTCACTGATTTTCGACGTGAAAGTCTTTTAAATGACCTAGACGAGACGAACCCAAAGTAAGTCGCCCTCTACTCTCAGGAGAACATACAAAATCTATTGATATTATCCAGTTTTTAATTTATTATCACAGAAGATGTTGCGCACAATTGTTGTACGAAGTGATTTGGCGAAAAGCACTCTCAGAAAAGTTGTCCGGTCAAATATTGTCAGAACTTTGAGTGTAGAATGCACAAAAAGGCGAAATAATCACAGGTAAGGAGTTACCTTGATTGGGCTTAATTTTTTACATAATCAGATTATTCTATTTTCGTTAAACCAGTTTACATAATCATAACCTCACTTTTTCATTTTGTACTTTCATGTGTAACGTTGTGCAAATTATAGATCGCTTCTCCTGAGAGAAAATAGGGCACTGCAATGGCAAGGCCCTTCGGTAAATTTCTTCCGGCGTTATGCAACCGATTACCCTCCACACACCAAAGTCCTCCTACCTGCCCTTTCTCCAACCATGGAGTTGGGGACAATCGTCAGTTGGGACAAAAAAGAAGGCGACCGGCTAAACGAAGGAGACTTATTAGCCGAAATCGAGACTGATAAAGCCACCATGGGCTTTGAAACCCCCGAGGAGGGCTACCTCGCAAAAATTCTCATCCCCGCGGGCTCTAAAGACGTGCCCATTGGCAAATTAGTGTGTATTATTGTGGAAAATGAGGCCGACGTGGCCGCTTTCAAAGACTTCAAGGTGAGTTGATTTTTAAATATTTGACAAGTTTGTTTACAAATGATAATAGGATGATGGCGCCGCCGCTGCGCCGCCTAAACCCGCTGCTGCTCCCGCGCCGGAAGCCCCTGCGGCCGCCCCGACGCCGCCCCCCGTGCCAGCGGCTCCCGCGCCACCGACGGTGCCACCGCCAGCAGCGGCAAGTGATCGTGTTTATGTCAGTCCAATGGCGAAGCGACTAGCCGAGCAACGTAACATTCGTTTACAGGGCAAGGGGACGGGTCTTTTCGGGTCCGTAACGTCGTCCGATCTTGATAGTATGGCTGCCGGGGCTCCGGCAGCGGCGGGTGCGAAGGCGCCGCCTCCAGGACCGGCTAACGTGCCGAGCGGGGCCCCCTATGTCGATATTCCGGTGTCAGGAATGCGCGGCACGATTGCTAAAAGACTGCTGCAGTCTAAGCAGAACGTTCCTCATTATTATCTGACTATTGAATGTAATGTTGATAAGTTGTTGAAACTGAGAAGTCGATTTAATAAGAAGTTTGAGAAGGAGGGTGTGAAGTTGAGTGTGAATGATTTTATTATTAAAGCGGTGGCGTTGGCTTGTAAGAAGGTGCCGGAGGCGAATTCTGCCTGGATGGATACTGTTATAAGACAGTGAGTTTCAAGTTTAACTTGTGAAAAATTGAAATTGATGAAACGATTTACAGATACTCTTCAGTGGATGTGAGTGTGGCAGTGTCAACAGACCGCGGCTTGATAACCCCCATCGTCTTTGGAGCAGACGGGAAAGGTGTCATAGATATCAGTAAAATAGTTAAATCGTTAGCAGCAAAAGCTCGCGACGGTAAACTTCAGCCACAAGAGTACCAAGGAGGCACTATAAGTATTTCAAATTTGGGAATGTTTGGAGTTGACCAATTCAGTGCCATAATAAATCCACCACAAAGCTGCATTTTAGCAGTTGGTACCACTGCCAAGCGTTTAGTACCCGACGAGTCGGAAAAAGGGTAGGATAATTATTTCAATTCAAATTCAAATATTTATAATTTGATTTTAGATTCAAGGAATCCCAATTTATTTCGGTGACGTTGAGCAGCGATCACAGAGTCGTTGATGGAGCTGTTGGTGCTCAGTGGCTGAAATGGTTGCGCCAGTTCTTAGAAGATCCAGAATCGATGATCCTTTAAGTTATTGAAATCATACATATTTGTTAAGTTTCTCATTTATCATTTTCGTGCCGTGTTTTCGAATTAAACATAGAGAAGACCTGAAGTTAAGGTCTCTGTTGGTTTAAAGAAGAATTCTTCCATCTGTATAATGTTGCATTTACGATAAGATTTGTAGTGGAACTTATACCAACAGATTTAGTTCGAGAGACAGGTAATCATCCAAACATTGTGTTTCATGAAGACTTTCATTGCTGTTTATATAAAAAGTTGTAATTCTTTGTTGAGCAAATGTATTTATGTATTTAAGGATAAATAAACTAATTGTACATAGGATTCGCTTTAATCTTTGACATTCATAAATAAATTTTTGCTTAATTCATTAGCAGGCATTGAGACCACTCTAGAAATTTTGTAAATATCTGGGTGCAGTTACAATGATCTACAGGTCTGTGGATAGATCTACAGGTCTGTAGATAGATCTACAGGTCTGAAGATAGATCTACAGGTCTGTGGATAGATCTACAGGTCTGCAGATGGATCTACAGGTCTGCAGATGGATCTACAGGTCTGTAGATAGATCTACAGGTCTGTAGATAGATCTACAGGTCTGTAGATAGATCTACAGGTCTGTAGATAGATCTACAGGTCTGT